CCCCTCCAACAACTGAGCATTCCAAAGCTCGAACTACAAGCTGCCGTGATGTGTGTCCGCCTGTTGGAGACAGTTAAGAGAGAGCATACGTACGACTTTGAATCCTGCCACCTGTGGAGTGATAGCAGCACAGTCCTTCAATGGATTCGAAGCGCAAGTCGTCGTCATCCAACATTTATCGCTAATCGCATATCCGAGATCCAGGATTCTACCGACCCCCTGCAGTGGCGACATGTCCCCGGCCGTCTCAATGTAGCTGACGAAGGCAGCCGTGGTCTGCACGCAGCTGAGCTCCACCCCGAATGTCGATGGTTGAACGGGCCGGCCTTCCTTTCTCAGCGCGAAGAATTCTGGCCGACGGAAGCCAAAACGAACAACGATACGCCAGATGTAGTTGACCCAGAGTGGACTGGAGCGGCCCACCAAGCTCCGCACGTTTCCCTCGACCCCGCTCATTTCTCCTCCTGGAACAAGCTGATACGTACCACAGGCTGGATCCTCCAATTTATCAGGAACTGTCAAAAACCACAGCAAGAGCGGCAGTTAGGATTGATCACCGTCGCAGAACACAACAAAGCCAGAGATATGTGGATAAAGAGAGCCCAAATCGAACAATTTTCTCTCGAACTTCGTGGGCTACAGACCAAAACACCTATCTCTCGACAAAGTCGAATCTTGACCTTGACGCCGTTCCTCGATGAGAATGGCTTACTCCGGGCTGGTGGCCGGCTGTCCAAAGCTCCAGTTCCATACTCTACGCGACATCCAATTATCCTCCCGCAGAAGCATGATGTCACAAGGCTTAGGCTTATCATAACCCACTTCCACGAAAGTCTTTACCACGAAGGTAATGAGCATGTCCGTAACGCCATTCGTCAGGAGTTTTGGATCTTGAATTGTCGCGCCGAAATACGAAAGATCGCCCACCACTGTCCTTACTGTCGTAGACGACGAGCCCGACCACATGCTCCGAAGATGGCCGACCTTCCAAGCGTCAGATTGAAGGCACATCTACCACCGTTTTCTCACGTCGGAGTGGACTACTTCGGGCCATTAACCGTTAAACGTCTTCGCAAGACTGAGAAACGATATGGATGTCTGTTCACCTGTTTGGTCACTCGAGCCGTCCATATCGAGATCGCTTACACGCTCGACACTGATTCCTACATTATGGCGCTTCGCAGGATGATCTCAAGAAGAGGAAAGCCTCAACGAATCCTATCTGACAACGGTACCAACTTTGTCGGCGCCAACCGAGAGCTGCGTGAATGTCTCCAGAACTGGAATAAAGGTAAAATTCACGACGAGATGGTACAACAAGAGATTGAATGGCATTTCAACCCACCAGCCGCGCCTCATTTTGGTGGTGTTTGGGAACGCCTAGTCCAGTCCTGTAAACGAGCGATCCGAGCTGTCGTTGGGAAACAGACCCTGACGGACGAGGTCCTACTCACCGTTATGGCCGAAGTCGAAGCCTTGTTAAACAGCCGTCCTCTCACCCACGTTAGCACTCATCTCTGCGATGAAGAAGCCTTGACTCCGAACCATTTCCTCCTCGGTCGCCCTAGTCCGAATTTACCGCCCGATGTTTTCGTCAGCAAGGAAATATCTAGTCGACGTCGATGGCGACAAGCTCAAGTTGTGACCAATCACGTTTGGAAACGATGGTTGAAGGAGTATGTCCCCAATTTATTGCAAAGAAGAAAGTGGACTACACAAGCCCGGAATCTGCAAAAGGGTGATCTCGTACTTGTCGTAGACCCCGAATCCCCCCGCGGAGTTTGGCCACTAGGTCGCGTGATCCGCCCGATTACCGGAGACTCAGGAATCGTCCGCGCTGTCGAAGTCAAAACGAAAAGAGGAACACTCGTGCGGCCTGTAGCAAAGATTGCATTACTTGAAGAAGCAACTCAATCCTTGGAAAAGAGCGTGTCCACCCTCTAATTCGATGATGAACACGGGGCCGGCGATGTTCCGCCCGCACGATATGACTCTGTTTATATACGTTTAGTTTTATTAATCTTAGTTATAATACTCTTGAGCGACAAGCCCTAAGGGGTCGAACTCGAACTGTATTGTATTTGTCAACACTTGTCAACGCCGCATATTATATTATATAGCTCAGTTAAATGTTGTGAAATACGAGTAGGTTTTGAACGAGAGACTCGAGACTTATAGTCAAGCATGCTGTCTGGTTTTTGGTGAAATAAATTTATGTATAAAATAAAACCCACGTCTCGCATTTGAATTTACAACGTTCGACGCATCGATCGAGATATAACACCCTATTTGCACTCGAAAACACTGTTTCTTGCCCTCTTTTAGGACAACATTTCCGAAAAGGTGTTGGGGCGGTCGCCTCCCCGCCCCGCAACTGGGAGGGGAGCTCACTGTCGTATGAGCATGGAGTAATTTGCTAACATTAGCTATTACGCACTGTTTATTATAATATAAGTGGGATATAACAGACGATTTGATTGGCTAATGCGCGTGCATTGTGATGCAATAATGCACTGTGGTCCGTGGCACTGCCTTGCTTTTTCTGTGTTTTTTAATGGTTTTTAGCCAAAAATATAAACAAAACTATAGCTTTTTTAAATACAAAATCTATCAGAAAGCAAGAAGGAATATACTAAAGAAACAAAGCAATTTTATCTATAGTTCTAAACAGTAAAATTAACCGACTTGGCATTCGTCTAATTTGGTTTTTTTTCGACAAGTTTTGAGCAAAAGCGTGCAAAATAGCCGAGAAAAAATACCAAAAGCAATACCAAAAACATAGAAAATGGCAACAAAAACTGAACAGAAGTGATTTAGAAAGTACCTTCAATGGTTCTAATAAAAACTGCTAGATATATTTTCGGCAAATAGCAAAAAATACAATATTTCAAAAGGAAAAACACGACGAAACCTACGATTTAACGTCTTTCATGGCAAAACCGACAGCCCAGATGCTGAAAAACGTACCGTTAGCAAATTAGTCTGTGTATCACTGGGGTATTTCCCCCCAGCATTTTAAACAGTTTCTTCGCAACTTTAGCATCAAAATTTTATCCAAATTTTGTATTGTTTTTGTTCCTTCGCTGGCTTAAAAATTCAAGCGACAGTAAAAGCACAAATAATAGATAATACCAGATGACTCACTGTGTGTCTATTCCTATGATTTTCGTGTCCACGATTTTCGCGAGGCTGATCACGAATTGCACACGGCAGATGACGCGTGCGACACTTACTGCCAAAATGGCGGCGATTGCTCACGCAATTCCACGCCATACTTTTAGTGGGATCCAGGCTATTTTTTTGTTTTGACCACTCTGTCACCGACGGCAAAGCTTCAAGTTATTGCTGCATGGATTTCCCGACAGGTCCCTATTAAACAAATCACTCATGATTTATCATTTTTGCGGTTCATATCTTCAGTTCGGTAAATGCTACGTGGACCAAAATACCACCATTCGATTCAGTGTAACGATAGCTACTCATTCCTATCGATAGATTTAGTGAATGGCAACATTATAGCGATTTATGAGCTTTGAAAGTCAAACGAGCTCGTATATGAATAAATATGATCAAATTACGCAATATTACTGACAAATTATAAACATAAACATACCTTTCGCCGAATATAACTTCGTCCCATTGAGACGTAT